GAGGATGGGTGCCCTCAAAGACTTCCCTTGATTAGGTGGGACAACGTGAATGACCACAATTGCCCTCTTCCCCCAACATGCACACTGCGCACTCTCCCCCTTGTAAGACCTTGCACATGCTTCAAATTGAATGTAAATATCACTGTCTCTGAAGCCTTCTCTTACACTTGCCCTATGCCCCAGACAGGTTTGAAGCCTCCTTCTTCTATCCTCCCAGAGCATTTATGCTTATTACACGCCAAAAACTGTTCCAAGTGTGCTGTCCACATCCAGGTCCCAGCCCTTCCTGGGGCATCTGTAATGTATAGTTGGGGGGGTTTGTTTCCTTTATGTCTGTCCTGTGGGGAACCAGGGGAGCCTCACCTCATGTGCCTGATGTGGGAGAGGATGAGGAGGAGCTGGGCCAGGCGCCGGTGCTGCTGCTGCAGAGTCAGGCCTGCCTTGGCCATCAGATGGATCAAGGTGTCCGTGATCTTGTCCAGGACACGGTGGATGTGGTCCTTCTCCTCCAGAGACTTCAGAGTGCTGGACAGAAACGTGTACACTCCTGAATGTACAGAGAGAGAGAATGAGAGTGAGAGAGAGAAACTCATACAGGATGAAATCCAGGAGCTTGACGGTGTGCGTGGGACATAATACCGAGTCAGCACCTTTCCCTCACACAGCAAGGGGGAAGTTTGAACCCATTTGACCCAAGCAACTATATAAAATTCCTACTGTGAGCCAGTTTCCAAGGTTTGTCATTGAGAGTCCCAGAGAAGCACTATTAGCCTGGGGGACCTGATGGTTGCTCTAGCCACCCATCTCTAACAGCTTTGACACCTTTCCCTCACACAGCAAGGGGGAAGTTTGAACCCAATTGACCCAAGCAACTATATAAGATTCCTACTGTGAGCCAGTTTCCAAGGTTTGCCATTGAGAGTCCCAGGAGAAGCACTATTAGCCTGGGGGACCTGATGGTCGCTGTAGCCACCCATCTCTAACAGCTTTGATCCCAACACAAACTATGCCATCAATACTGCCCATGACCCTGGGAGAGGGGCATCCCTTTTCTAATGAAGAAACCAAGGGCAGAGAGATGCACTCACCAAGATAACTCAATAGGACAGAGCAAAGCTGTGAATGAAGCCCAACAAGCTGACTCCACTTCTTCTCATTATAATGGAGATGCTCAGGAGACATGTGACCTCTTGATTTGCTAAGTGATTTACAGGTAATATTTCCAGGTAGCACTTAACTTGCTGCTACGTTTCAGGTCAGGTTTAGGGCCCCACTGCTTTTCATCCTCAGATGAAAGGTTTATGATGGATGGTGAGGACTGTGGCAAATGCCGTTTTTCACTGCCAGGCATGTTTTCCTTTCCCCTCTTGCCTTTCTTCTCACTAGATCCTCCTCCCTGGGCCACACGTGGACTCATCCAATCAGGCCACTCTAGTCTTTTGGACTCACAGCCCTGCCTCACAGCGTCCATATACAACTCCAGAATTGTATGTGGATGTTGTGAGACCGAAATTCTTTCCTCTAGGGTTGCTGAACCGGGAGGACGAGATTATGGAACTGTTACGTAGTGGCATCTTCCTATAGCACATGGAGCTCCTGTCTGCAGAATAGAACATTCCAACAACATGCAGAGGTGGGAGTTGGAGGAAGGAGGGGGGATCCTGGTTCCAGTTATATAGTCCTGCTTCTTGTATTTCTTTTTAATTTGACCTTGGAGCTTTCATAGTATCCTCTCTAACACATGAATCCATATAGTCCTTTTGTGCTTAAGGTACTGTGAGTCACCTGCAAAGGAAAGAACCCTGACTATTCAACTAAGTTGTGAGCTCAGCCCAAGAACCAGAAGAAGGAGATTGGTAAAGATATGGGATGTATGAGATCGGGAGGAGGTCAGGATGGGTCAGTCTTGGGAACACAGGATAGATTTTCTATCAAGTAAATACTCCAGAATAAGCTCCATTCTTCGTAATGATACCATCTTGCAGGAAGTAGATGCAATATTTTTTCGGTCTTATTTCTATTCAGTCCCATGGCCTCTCATAAATAGATTTCTTCTTCCCCCTCCCCGTCCTCCCTAGTACCTTCAAGTTAAGCCTCCCAAATTCATCATCCCCTGACTTTGTACTGGTAATGTGGGGATGAGTTATGGCTCACTCAGCAGCTGGAGGTTGGGAATGGGAAAAACATTTACACAGAGGAACTCATAGTAAACAGAGTTGTAACTGCCCAGAATGGAAAATGGCTAAGCTTTAAACAAATGCAACAACAACAAAACCAGAATGGTCAGGATCTTGGCTTACATGCAGATGAATAGAATAATGTAGCTTTTGGTACCAAGAGGCACTTTGATCCAAAGCAAAGAGAACACAGAATGAGTAAGCAGCAGACAAGCAGTGGGATAGGAAGGAAATTGCTGGATTACTTCACTTATGTTCCATGCAGACTGTTGATAGAGAAAGAATGTGTCCATTAAAAAAAAAAAACCAGGCAGATGTCCAGTAGCCTTGAGATTGGCCCAGATGTAACGGATGGCAGGGAGAGTGTGCGCCACTGGTTTAGGGGTCCGGGGTGGCCTCCGCTGAGTCCCCATGACCATGCCTCTCACCTCACTCTATGTCATCACACACATTCTAGCCTTGCGCCTCTCAGAGGCCCCACATCTGGCTGGATAACCTGGGAACTTGCCCAGGCCACAGACCTGAGTTAATCCAACTCAGATGATGCATTTTCTACCAATTCCCTTTTTTGTTACCACCCAGGATGCTGGCTTTATTCACCAATAATCCCATTCTTCTTCAAGGAGCAAACTGTTTTGATGTCCCTGACTGGGGAGGTACAGCACTTGGCCTTCCTCTCATGCACACAGGATTAGAGCAGAATGTGCTAGAATCTCAGAGGTCTTGAAGCCAGCATTATGCTGTGCCCATTGCAAGGGAGGTAGGAGCCTTGGCATTCAGACTCCAGGGTGTGAAGTGTCTTCTGGGGCTGTTGGTCCCCACTCTTCCTCAACGTGCACACATGAACAGCACGTAGATCCTTCCCTTCAGCACGCTGTCATGGGGAACCTACTGCGTGCACACATTGTGTTACATGACAAAGGTTCCAAGCCTTATTTTCTTCCAAAGGTTAATGTCTTAAGTGCAGATATTGCCTGTGGAGAAAGAATTTTCTTAACAACGACTCGGGAGGCAAGCCATTCTCAGAACAAGCCTGTTTTCTAGTAGAGTTTTGGCACCAATACAGCTTGTCGTCAGCAATGCTTCCTAGCTGAGCAAATACACTTAGAAATAGAAATACAGTCCTATCAAAATGCCAATAATTGACAACCGCAGCCAACACTTCCTTTTTGGGCTACTGTGGCCAAACGTGGACCATGTGTGTTGCCTGTTGCCCCTGAAGGGCCCTTTGAAAGAAAGAACTGAAACCCAAATTCCCAGAATACTTCAGGTGCTTTGGCAAGAGCAAAAAGGAGCTGGTGGTCAATTCCACATCCCAGGTGGTCTCTGCCACCCTGGACGGCTGTGCCACTGTTCCCAGAAGCACAGAGCCAAGGTCAGACCCCGAGGACCTTCAGAAACGTTCTTGTGACAAGGCACACTTTTGCAACTCTCGAGGTTGCTCCAAATCCCAAAGATGAAAAAAAACAATCTGCGTTTCATTGTCCAGTCTTCAAGTGCTATTGGCAGATCTGAGCTACTACATAGTCTGAACCTTCCAGCCGGTATTTGGAATTGTAGGAGGAATCTGTGGAGAAGTCTGGTGGCAGCAAGGAATGGGCAGCAAGACTGTTGAAACATCCCCATGTGTGAGATCTCAATTCAATTTTTCTCACTCTCTTGGTCTCACTGACTCCTCTCACTCTACTTGGACACTTTCTTCCTTCTTCCTTTTGCTCTCTACAGGAACCCCCTCTCCACCCCTCATCACTCTTCCAAGTAAGAGAGTCTTCCAGAAGTTGGAGGAATGCAGGCATGAACAGTGCATTGCACAAATGCACCTAGTGTGCCTGGAAGGAAGCATAAGATAGCCAGGGGTGTCCAGAAGACCCTGTCCTTGACCTCCACTGGGAGGCACATTGAGCTGCTCCTAGAGAGGTGAGGACGGCCAGATGCTTGAGGACAAATTCTTCAAGAAGCCCACATTGGTTCTTTCCAAAAGGAGGAATGTGACTGCGGACCCAGGGGAGTCCTTCCGTCCATGGCAGCTTGACCAAACTAAAAGGAAATGGCTCAAAGGGAAAAATAGCGAAGAAAGCTCAAGTCCACAGCTGTCATCTGTCTGGACCAGAAAGCTGTCACTCAGCTGGGACAAAAAGGAACTTCTCATCCTGTTCACCCAGTGATTAATGGGCAGGTCCGCCTCTCAGGTTTTCTGCTGCGAATTGCTTCCATAACCAAATAGGGTGTTTGCTCAGAAGGGCCTTCAAGGTTGCCAGTTCAATGAGCAGCATGTTTGTTTTGTGCTTCATATGTGACTGCTGTTCTTCCTGGGGATGGTACTGGTCCTGTAGGGGTTCAAACAGCTCACGGTTGTCACAGCCACTTAGTGGGAGAGGTTGTGCTGGGGTCCTGCGATGTGCAGGACAGTTCCAACCAGTGAAATGAAAGATTTTTTACTGAATGTCCTGCTGAATCAACCCTACTACAAGCAAAAATCTGTAGTGAAAAGTTTTGAAAAGCTTTTAACAAGGCTGTACACAAAAGACCCAGCATGCAAGTTGGCTATAGAGAGGGAAGCTTAAATGGAACACATTTGTTCAAAATTCAGTAATTTATTAACTTTCTGTAGCCTGCCAATTGAATGTATTGCATAAGCATTCCCACTATGCACTTAGTTGAAGTGATTTCAGTGCAGTTGTACTACAAAAGCAACACACACGGTTGCAAATACATAGAAGAGATGTAAGACTCTTCTAAACAAAATTAGAATCAACTATTATCCAATTGTAGATATCAATGAAATATTGTGTTTTCTCCCATCTGCTTTTAAATAATTTTACAGCATAATAAGAATCCACTTTGCAAAAACTACATATTAAAATTGTTTGGGGGTTCTTGTCTTTCCGCCTTATGCTGATATTGCCTCCAGAGGTTTTCCACTTCTTGATCATTCTTATATTATTGTGTGTTTTTTCTAATCCATCATCACTTCTCCAATATTTATCTTAAGGATATGACCTTTATAAGTTCCAGAAAATGAATATTGGCCTTGGATGTCATGGGTTATTAAGATAGAATCTATGTTTCTATATACTTCAGCACTTCCTCATCCTGTATCACAACAAAGGGAATTAGTTTGACAATACACATACTAAAGCCCAGCTCATGTGCAAAATTATCCTTTTATTTATTTATATTATTCTTTGACAGTCTAGGTTTTATTGACATGTTATTACTGAATCAATCTAATTTCTTTCTCGCTTCTTATCCTATCTAATAATAGACAAAGATGGTAATTGACCATACCTTTGCTACGCCTCCCATTGGCTAATCAGTGTGATATGCAAATTAACCATCAACAAAGATGGAAGCTAATTTGCATATACCG